CCCCAAAACCCCAAAACCCCAAAACCCCTCGTTGCTGATTGTAATTATAGTATGGAAAATTGGAATATTATTATAAGTTATATTATAAAGTAAGTTAATGACAGAGAAACCCAAAAGTAAATAAGAATCTGCTGAAGTGATATGTAATTTAGAAAATATTTAAGATTGCTATATAGAATAGAAATATCTGATTGAAGGTTAGCAAAGAGAGCTTTAAGAAGTGCGACTTGAGAATGAGAAATTGAGAGAAAAAATCTAGGAACTCGAAAAATGGATAGTTTTATTGCTTAACAATTTTTACTCTGGCAACCCTTAAAACCTAGATGCTATTAAAAACGGTTTCGAGGTCATTGATGAAATGAGAAATCAGATTTTTCTAATGAAAAAAACTATTCTTTTTGACAGAAAAAAGTAAGAATTCTTATCAATTGTCTTGACCCTAATATATATATAAATAGGTATCAAGACCTTCAAGAAGATTACATGAATCAGAAAAAGAAAATGAAAGAGAGAGAAGAAGATATGAAGAAAATGGATGTGGGTGAGCTAATTCTTCAAAGACAGGCTTTAGAAGAGAATTTGAGATATCTCTCTGAAGAAGTAGAGGCGCTTTCGCAGAAGAATTAGAGATTGCTTAAGGATTTGAAAGTAAAGGATTTCTATTAATCTTACAATTAGATTAGTGATGAGGTAATTAACTATTTCAATTTTATCATATTATTTTCAGTTTGATTAGCTAAAGAGAGCTCATTCAATCTTGATATCTACTCTTCAGCCAGATGGTAAATTACCTAAAAAATCAATTAGAGACTAGAAAAGCCCTCTAAGTAATCCAAATGACCAAGCATACATTTCTCAAAGCAACTAGATTTCCTATAGAACTCCAAGTGCCCATCATCACACTTAGTCTTAGAATGACTCCAAACTTGACTCTTTGTTTAGTTTTATTTCCTGCTAAGGTTGTGGAGTTGGTGATAAAGGAAATGCGGGTGTAAATTACAATTCAAATTTCGCAATAAACTAGCCTTTGTTTTTTGACAATGCCCGCTCTTCATACTATAATGGAGATAGAAATCTGAACAAGGGAAACTTAGAGTTGAGGAATTTTGATGACTCAAGTCAACAGTCTATTAACTTTTTACTTCAAAAGAGCCCTGCGAACTAATCTAGAAGCAGAGGTAAAAACTCTACCCATATATAACTATAGAACAGTATGAATAAATAGCAACATTTATGAAAACCTATTTAAATATTATGAATTTAAACATTAAGTCATTAAGCAATTAAGCATTAATTTAAAGTTAAATTTGATTGGTAGAAATTATTGAATGCGTGGAGTTATTGGGACTCTTTAATATATAATGAATAAACATTTAACTATGGCAACAATCCCAACCAAATATGATTTCCCACTCAAACTCTCCCAATATCCTCAAGTAACTCAATTTAAAATCTAAAGCCATCACCAAGACTAAGAAAAACTCTTGTGCTAATAGTCTTTTGAAGAAATTGCAAAGATTGTCACTTTAAACTCCTGACTTAACTCTTAGTTGCAAATTGAATAAAATTGAAGGGCAATCAGAAAATGGCAGCATTTCAAACGCATCTATTTCAACGACTGCAAGTGAAGTGTCCAGCCCATTTTGACTTTGTGAGGTTTCAGTTAACGCACTTTATATGAATGAACAAATATTTGAAGACCTTTCTAGAGATGCCTAAGAATTAAAAAGTATTGCTGATATTAGTTCAGATAGAAAGTTCTCAATGAACTCAACAAATTCTAATTTGACCAGCGAAAGCTATAACCTCTTCTCAAATTTTATTTCTGATTTGCAATAAGGGCAAGCAATTTACAGACAATAAGACAACTGCATTGATGCTATAATTGATGATGACTTCGAAAACGATTTATTAAATTCACTTCTTTGAGAATATCTAATAAAGCCAATAAACTAGGCTATAATATGAGATAACATATATTTCATTTAATTTCATTAATCTATTCAAAATTCATCGTATTTACTCAATCTGTTACTAAAGGGGTTTTGGGGTTTTGGGGTTTTGGGG